ACATTAAAGATTTGAGAATAATTTATATTTTTACTTATATTATCTTTAAAATAGATAAAAATAAAGAGAGGTTTTTTATGATAAAATTGATAATTAAAGTTAAATGATAATGATAAAATTAAAATAACAAAAAATATTTATTTGTCTTAAAATTGAAAGAAATGAAAATTAATTTGGGACAAATTCTAATTAAAAAACTTATTATTTTAAGAAACATGGAGTACATAGTAAGTAATTTACTAGTGTTGTAAAAAAATATAATTTATTGGTATTAAATGATAAAAAAAAGTAAAAACTAATTATTTATTGGTAATTAATTAGATTAAAACTTTTATTAAAAAAATAGATTAAAACTAATTAACAAGAAGAATTAATAAGATACGAGACCTAAGAAAGAAAAAGAGAAGAAAAAGAGAGCAAAAATGTCTTTTAGTGTGTTTTTGTTATTTTATTATTATATCTCTTTATTATCAATATTTATTTATTTTTTTTGGCAATTGCAACATGCTGATTTGTATAATTATTTATATAAGGATAAATTTGTCATTTTATTATACTTGGCTTTCCTCTACCTAATTCAAGGACTTAATTAAAGCAATTTTCAAAGTTTGGAAGTTAAAAGATAATTTTTCCTTTTTGTTGATGGTGTCTTATGACGTGGCATTCCATTAACAAAAAAATAACGGTGAGTGGGATGTATAGACTAAAATGATTAAAAAATGATAGTTTTTGGATTATTTAAGAAGAAAATTAAGTTTTTTTTAATATTAAAAAATTATATTGATTCTTAATTAATTCAGAATTAAATGACGTCGGATCCTATAAGAGAAAAAACTCTCTTAATACCTGTTTCTTCATTTATAAGATTTAATTTGAATTTAAAATCTTATTTAAAAAAAATTAAATTTTTTTTACTTGAACTAATAGTTTATTGGCATGTATCCAAGTTATTATTATCATTATTATTTACTTACTATTCATTTATGAATGGTGTGGTATTACCTTGTTGTCGAACGAGTCAGAATCGGATTCCAACAAACCTGAGGGATAAAGCACACCGCAAAAACAATTTCAACACTTTCTCTACTAAAAAATTAATAATAATTTCAACATTTAATCAACCGAATTTTAAATTTAATAATTAGTTTGACTATCTTAAAATAATAGGTACATCATTTTATATTATTTTCTTATTAAAAATTTAAAGATAATTTAAATTTTTTTATATTATTTTTTAAAAATAAAAATAAAGAGATTTTATTATGATAAGAATAATCAAAATTAAAAAATAATAATAAAGTTAAAATAAAAAAATATTTATTTACTTTAAAATATAAAAAAAATATTATTTTGAAATAAATTTTAAATTAAAAAATATATATTATTTTGAGAGAAAGAAAGTACCAAATAACAAAAATAATTGAGTTATAACATTTTATATAATGTAATATATTATTAAATAAATAGTTGAAATGATTAGAATAAACTGCAATTTAAAATTCACAAAATTTTGTAGGTAAATGCCAAGAATTCTTTGACGACCTGATCATAAACTTGACAGTGTTGGGCTGCAAGTATTCTTAGTTTCGGTCTATGAATGGAACTTTTGGGCCTGCTGTGCTGAGCATGAATTCACCCAGCCTTATTGCCCTCTATTTTGCGTTCCTAAATTTATTGTTTTTTAACTGCAAGATGTTGGGTCTGCGGGAACTGACTTGGAAGAATGCTGATGATGTTTGAAGACGTGGAGATTATACAATTATACAAGGCCATCATGGAATGTGCTACATATGAATACGACATTGAAATCTTGGAGCTGATGAGTGCTGTAGCCGCCGAGCGAGCGCCCGGAAGAGTGGCAAATTCAGGCCATCTAAAAATTCAAAAAATAAAGAAATCTTAACTAGGCAACGTTCTGAGATACTGAGAATTTGACGTGAATTCAAGTTATCCAAAAATTAAATATTTCATCATTATTATAAAAGTATTTGATGCCATAAAGAAAATTTCAATTATTTAAAAATAAATAAAATTAATTTAATAATACAAAATAATATTTTTTAATTTTTTTAATACTCAGTTTTTCATTGTAATTTTTCTCTTGATCTTTAAAAAGCTCTTAAAATCTTATTTTACATGAATATTTACAGAGATTAAGAAAATTCTATTACAATACAAGCGGACTCACGTCAAAAATAAAAACTTATACATAAAACCGTTGAACATTGCTTAGGGTGTCAATACCACAATTTAAGTGTTGACACCTCTGCGGTAAAATATCCAACTTATGGTGTCGGTACTTTCTATATGGTGTCGATACCCAGGCCGTGTCGGACTTTTTGGATCTTTTTGCAATTTCATTAATGGGAAAATTTCACGTCTGGTCTTTTCTCTTCTACGTTATGATCACTTCACTTTGATATAAACTTCAACTTTATTCTTATAGGTCCCTAATTGCAACATTTCTTCTTACAGTATAGTTCTTAAACTTTTAGAAACTTGTAACGAGTCCCAAAACTTTTATTATTATGCGCATTTAAGTCTTTTTCTAAACAAAAAAATAACAATCATATAAAATCAATAATAAATCACATTCTACCCATCCCAATATGAATAAATCAAGACTAAAATAAAAAGTTAATACATATAAACTACAACTCATCACCTGCCACATAGTTGTTAACAGGTATGGTTATGACTACCACTTGCTATGTTAAAGTCACCAAAATTTGATTGACAAAAGTGATATTTACAATTTTTTTCTTAAA